ACGGGAGACTCCTCGGAAGCGGTTGACAGGTAAATCGCTTCCCTCCCGGTTCCTATACGGAACAGAGACTTTTGAGTGTGAAATGGCAGTCAAATCCCGGTAGGGAACCGATTCTCAACCGGGTTCTGTCTGAAATGACAGACCAGCACCCGGTTGAGAATCGGTTCCCTACCGGGAGAAAGCGCCTGTCTGAAATTCCCCCTTGAAAAAAAGGGCAGTTTCTGTCAAGAGCTCTCAGCCCCACCTGCCTCACAGGGTCTCCGTTGTGGGGAGGGGAAGGGAAAGGAGTTTGTGAGCCACTCTGAGGCACCTTTGGGTAGCGAAGGGTGGGGTATAAATCCAGTCTCTTCTTCTTCTTCACAACCCCCCCTCCCTTCACACAGGAGGCAAAACCTGAGTGCGCATTCTGGAGGGAGCCCCTCCCGCTCTTTCGGTTATCTACCAAGGCCATCCTGGGGGTCGTGATGCGTGACAAAACACTTGAGCGTTTGTGGTGCAGAACTTAACACTGTTTTCCCCCGTTCCATTAAAAAAAAGCTCCTCCCGGGAGCCAGAAGGACTCTTTGCGATCGAGCACCGCTACACAAAACATTGTCGCTTGGAAGAGTACCTAGTTAAACAGTTTCTGCACAAAATCCTAGAATCACAGAGGTGGGAATGGGCCATAGAGGCCATCTAGTCCAACCCCCCTGCCCAATGAAAGATCAGCCTAGAGCATCCCTGTCAAGTGTTTGTCCAGCTGTTGCTTGAAAACTGCCCGGGAGGGGGAGCTCACCACCTTCCCTAGGCAGCCGATTCCACTGTCGCACAACTCTGACTGTCAAAAAAGTTTTCCCTGGTATCCAGCCGGTACCTTCCTGCCCTTAATTTAAACGCATTATTGCGAGTCCTCTCCTCTGCTGCCCACAGGAACAGCTCCCTGCCCTCCTCTAAGTGGCAGCCTTTCAAATACTCAAAGTGAGCTATTGTGTCCCCCCTCAACCTCCTCTTCTCCAGACTGAACATCCCCAAGTCCCTCAGCCTTTCCTCACGGGGCTTGGTCTCCAAATGTCTCCCCTCCCCTTCCCCACAACAGACAACCTGTGAGGTAGGTGGGGCTGAGAGAGCTCTCCCGAAGACTGCTCCTGAGAGAGCAGCTCTGAGAGAACTTGTGACTGACCCAGGGTCACACCAGCAGCTGCATGTGTGGGGGGGAAGTGGGGAATCAAGCTATTTAAATCTAACTCTTTTTTTAAAAAAAATTATAAGTTTATTTGTACGTTTTCTATTACATAAAATAACAGAGTAATACATATACATTTGTTAGAAGTACAAATGGAAGATCGTCTAACAGTTTTTCCCCACCCGGTTATAAACTTTCTGCCATCTATTTTGAAAAGTTGTTTCATCTTTTCCTGAAAGAGTCGTATTCACTTTATCAAATTCAGCTATATTTCAATAATTTTATCCCTTAGCTCTTCTTTACTGGGTATCGTATCCTTTCCCCATTGTTTTGCAGTTAATATTCTCGACATGGTAAGTATATACAGTATGTAAATCTAACTGTTTAATCTTTAAACTTCGGCTCTCGCACTTTACTATTGTTCCAGCACTTTAGGACAACTAATAATGTAATTGTTACGGTGTTTTTTATGAATAGTTTTAATCAGGGGTCATTTCCTGCAGGAGCGCACAGGAGCGGCGCTCCGGCAGTAAAGAGCCCAGGGGGCAGGCACATGCAACAAGCCCCACCCCCTGCTCCCAGCAGCCCTCAGTCAGAGCAAGAAGCAGCCAATACAGTCCAGTGGCACCTTTAAGGCCAAGTTTTATTCAGGTACAAGCTCTCCCTCCTCTGCCAGGACAGATCTGCACGTCCCCCCCCCAATTTGCATAAGCAAATGAGTTATGCTAATTAGTTATGATAACGAGCTCCTGCACCTCTTTTTCTACGAAATGACCCCTGGTTTTAATTGCATTTATATGTGCATTTTTATGTAAGCCGCCCTGAGCCTGCCTTGATGGGGAGGACAGGGTAGAAATTGAATGAATGAATGAGCCTGGTTCTCCCAGATTAGAGTCTGCACTCCTAACCGCGACACCAACCTGGCGATCCCCACCGAGGAAAGACCTAACCAACAATGGGAAGCAAGAAAAACCTCCGTGTGCCATGCCTGGAACATGTGCCAAGCAGCGCCAGCCTGCTCCGCCTTGTGCCCACCAGGGCTATTTTTGGGCAGGAACGCACAGGAACGGAGTTCCGGCTGACTCCCGAGTTGGCCACGCCCAGCAGGAACTCATTAGCATAATAGGCAACACCCAACAGCAGGAACTCATTACGATTGGCTACATTAGGGGTGTGTGGCCTAACATGAAAGGAGTTCCTGCTACAAAAAAAGCCCTGGGTTTTAACAACAAACAAGGTACACAGAATAAGAAGCAAAAGGTGGGTGTGGCTGGATGAGCACACTTCTGGTAACATGGGGGTGCGGCCTAATATGCTAATGAGCTGTGCTGTCAGGGGTGTGGCCTAATATGCTAATGAGTTTTGCTGTTGGGTGTGGCCTATTATGCTAATGAGTTCCTGCTGGGCTTTTTCTACAAAAAGAGCCCTGGTGCCCACGCACCACGCCATGCCCGTAGCCCTCCAGATGGCACCACAGCCGCTGTGCCAGGTCGCATAAGCAGAAAAACTACGACATCCCTGCAGGGAGGAACGTGTGGCCCGAAGCCGAGAACGTGGCGGCCCCTTGGACGTCCTCTCCGTTTTCACTAGAAAAGGAGACGGAGAGAGGAAATCAAGTTTCTAGCTCTCAAGGTGGCAGTGTGGGGAGCCTCTGGGGCCGCGTCCTGCTCCTGTTTTGGAGACCCAGACATATAAAATACAGGGGCACAGGAGGCAGATTGTGCCGTGCTGGAAGAAAAGCTGGGGAAAGAAAAGTGTGCGGGTATCGGGGAAACTGAGGAAAACGTTGAAATGAGGAAATGGAAGGCCCGGGTTCGAGAGCCCTGCGCCGGTTAGTCACAAGGGAGCAAAGGAAACTGAAGTCTCCACGTGTCTACAGAATTCAGCCCTTCCGCCAGGCCCGTAGCAAGGATTAAAAGGCCTTCGGGGGGGGCACCCTGCACAGACACCCCCACACACACACGCTTCCCAAGGGAGCGCCACAAATAAAATAAAAAATTGGAAGTGGGGGGGGGGGCTGGGCTGGACGGGAAGTCAGGGAGGGGGGCCTGGGCAGTAAGTCAGGGGGCCTGGCCCCGAGGTGCCCCACTGTAGCGACAGGCCTGTCTGCCACAGAAGCCGCATTACTTGATCGCAAGAGGTGGGCATTTTATCTGGCACAGAGCTTTAGAATCTCTGTCCGTAAAGGGCATCTAAAAGGTAAAGGTAAAGGTCTCCCTTGCTCGAAAGCCAGTCGAGTCCGACTCTAGGGTTGCAGTGCTCATCTCCGTTTCAAAGCCAAAGAGCCAGCGCTGTCCGAAGACGTTTCCGTGGTCATGTGGCCAGCATGACTAAACCACCAAGGCGCACGGAACGCTGTTACCTTCCCACTGAAGGGGTCCCTATTTATCCACTTGCAATTTCTTGCTTTCGAACTGCTAGGTTGGCAGGAGCTGGAACTAGAGACGGGAGCTCACTCCGTCATGCGGCACACTCGGGTCTCGAACTGCTGAACGACCGACCTTCCACAGCCTGCAGTTCAGCGTCTTAACCACCTGAGCCACCGCAGCTCCTTAAAGGGCATCTAACTGCCCACAAATGCCGTGCAAAGCCAGGGCCGGGGAGGGGATGGGGACTCACTGTCCTCTTCCGGCCATGCCCGAGCCAGAGCTGCTGCCAGTGCATGCATGCCAAGCAGTACCAGCTGCGGCGCCCGCTCCCAGGACCACGCAGAAAGCCGTAACAATGCCAACGTTGTGACCTCGTCCCCCTCCTTGCTTCCGGCAGCCGGGCATGCTGTTGGGGACGAGGGTGGGGGGAGCGGCTCCTACCAGCTGCCAAGTTAGTAAGGGCCGGGCTCCGGGTTCGGAAGAGGCGCACCCAGGACAGCATCGACAGCAGCTGGGCCAGGGGGTGCCCGAGGTAGCCCCGCGGGCCCCAGGAGAGAGGGCCGCTCCCTGCAGAGACAAGGCGGGTGAGAAGAAGACAGGAAAGGAGGAGCCGGAGGAGGACGCCGCGGTGGCGGCCGAGGGGAGGTGGCTTCTTACCGTCTGTTCCTCCCGCCCCGTTGGCCTTGCCCGTATGCTCCAGCAGGGAGCCGAGAAAGGACGAGGCACTGAGGCGCAGGTCCCGGAAGAGAAGGGAGGTGTCTCGTTTCATCATGTTCATGGGGCTCAGCTTCTCCACAGTGGGGTCCTCGGACTGCTCAGGATCCATCCCTGGATTGGAGGGCAGAAAAAGGGGACAGGTGTTGAAGGGTCCGAAATACGCCCACCCTGCTTCGCAAACTCCCGTACGTAGATGAAGGAGAGGGGGTTGTTTCTCTGAGTCCCAGCTTCTCTAGAGCGAGTCTAGAAGAAGGGCCTGCGCTGGGCTACTGTAGCAAAAAAAAATTAAGTTGCCCCTTGAAGACTAACACAGTTTCATTCGAGCAGAAGCTTCTGTGTGCTAGATGCCCACTCCGGGAAGACTTGGTCTCTGGATCACGACATCAGAGGTGGGAAAGAACATTCAGGGCAAAGGTGCCACGAGATTCCTCCTGTGCCCCTTTCCCCTCTTTCTTCCCCAGTCACCCACCCCTTCTCCCCCCCCCCCGGCATAAAGTGCAGAACAGGCCCGTAACCATGGAGGGGGCATTTGGGGGCAATGCCCCCCACAGACCAGTGCTGCCCCCTCAGACAATTTTTTAAAAATCGGGGGGGGGGGTTAAATATCAAAACACTTTTTTTCTA